ATGTGGCTTGTGCAAAGGTTATGGCACATTTTATATTTTACCCCCCCCCAGTATTTTAAACTCAGCAAGTAATCAGTAACTGTGCATTAAAATGTGCAGAAGTGTGTTCTCTATAGAGGATGTGTTAACCTTTATTTTTCACTTAGAAAATCATCAAAACATGGAATTAAATTTGGGGTGTTCAAACGTTTTTGCATATTACTGTACCCCTTAAGTGTTTCATCAAACATTCGTTCATAGGTCAGCACTTAAATCTAACACAGCTACAAACTGGCATGATAATGTAAAACCTTTGAAAACAATAACAGAATAATAGAATATAATGTATGTTGTTATATGTGGTTAATCTGGAAAAATTGAGATGGGAGGGTGAGGGTTGCTAGTGACCTGAGGTATGCTTTCAAGGGTTAATGGGTGGACCTGTATGACCCAGTGGGTCTCTCACTCCACTCACTCATCTGCCGACTCACCCACAGTGTTTACCAGATCATGGTCAGGCAGACAGGAGCACATTATGGAAGGATCCCATTCGCTGTGGTTCACTGAGATTTTTATAAGCGTGTTCCACACCCTCACTCCCTCCCAGCCCCTTGTGCTGGATGCATTAACGCAGCCCAGTCGGGCCATCTGAGAGGACTCCTGTGTTTATTAGAGGAATATAATCATTTATGGCTGAATGAGCTTCAAACCCCATAATGTGGACATTTGGTCGGCTGGAATGAAATGGAAATTTGCCGTGAACAGTGGCTGATTATGAAGAGAGGGAGAAAAAAAGAGAAAGGTGTTACTAATGTGTTTTCTGAACCACACTCAGGGTCCACCTTGACAGGAGGAAATGTGGTCAAACTATAACCAGGATAATAGATCATACAGCTCACGCTAGAGCATCCATGAGAAATAGGCAGTGTAGTGTGTAAATATGGCCATTATGGTTTTACCTTAGAGGATGCATTTGGAAGCTGGAACGGTTTTTCTTATAATTTGAAGACACGTTTCCTTCTTGCAGGTCAAAACAGTGTAGCATATTCCAGTGATCTTACAACTACAATTAGCTGTCATTAATAAATCTTTTGATTTTTAATTATAGCTGTTTTGTTCCTTTGCTGTGATTACAAGTGTATTGTATTTAAATTTTATTTACCAACATGCACATGGTCTTATCATCACTGTCATATCAAAATAGTCTTTTTTATTTAATGGCCAGCTTCCTTTTACATTGTACCATTTCATGATGAATGGATTAATAGAAATGGTTCAAAGTTACATGGGGTAAAATCTGAATACATTAACTTTTATATAAGCAGAATTCCATAATTGTTTCTAAAATTATGCATAATTCAGACTGGTATGATGCAAAATGCTCCATTCTAGAGAACTTTATGCATCAGGATTGTTCACAGTGGTGGTGATTGGAACCAAACATCTGAAGTGTTTAATGCCTCTAAAAGCCACATCACAAAAAGATATTACACTAAATTGATACAAATATGCTGCATGATTACTAAGACATTGTTTTATGATAGTTTTGGCCTAAAACATAATTTTTAAAATCCATGTGTGGCAGAGGGGTACATGCAAGGGATGTAAGACAAAACAGTACCAAAATAAAACATACTTTTTCAGATTTTCCACTGTTTTATCATTATTATCATTACATAAAAAACTCAAAAGACATGTGTAGGTTCACTGGTGGTTTTGGATAGTAAATAAAATGACTGTATTTGTGTTGTACACATTGTGACTCCTGGTTACATGCAGAATCAGAATCAAGTACAAACATGTATGACATGTAACATACTGAACTGCCCATTATTTAGTTAAAGTGACACAAAAAGCACCAAAAGGTTCAGGTCAGTGGGCCTCCAGTAACAGGTTTGAGAAACACTGGTCTACAGTACACCATTTCACACCAAACCTTTAAAGGTTAAGAACATTTTTTCTTTCTGAAAAGTTACCATATGACTGCTAATGAAAATCTGCTTAAAAATAATTCATATGGTTCAATTTATTACTGCTATACTAATATCTTACATTAGTGCTCTCCTCCTCTAAAGTCACCACTTTAGAAATACAAAGTTGTGTTATGATAGTTATAGCAACTGTGCAGCAGGTTTGTTTTTATCTTTCTGATGACTAGGCCATTTATGACCATGCTTTTAATTTTTTTTCCTGATGATTAGTTGCTTAATTGTCCATATTGACTTATTAGCTGTCTTGTTTTCTAGATATCTATGTTTAGTACCTCCAAACTGATGACAGAACAGCTCAAGCTCAAATAAATCAACATTACTCATTGCTGCCCTCTAAAGGTGTTATAGCATCATGTGACAAGTAAGAACTTAGTGTTTTCATAAGATCCATGGCAGGTCTCAATATAGTGTTTCCTGCTTTCTTCTATTTACATTAATTTAATGAAATTGCACCCAATTTTTTCCCAACAACTGTGGAACAAAATTTCAGTTGCGATCAGGCGATCATGGAATAATTGTGACAGGCCTACTGACAACCATTACTACTTTAATTTAGTATTAAAAGCAACAGTACTCCTATAGGACTGTGCTTAAACCAGGCTGTTTATGATTTTGGTCTTTGTGTGAATCATTCTGTTGAGATACTTTCCAAATCTCCATGGAAAAGGAGTCAGTGTTCATGTTTTTTTTTGTTTTTTTTTTTTCCATTGGCAATGATAGTGCTGGGGATTTTCTCATGCTATCGGTATGAAAAGTTCAGAGCCTTCAGTTCTTTTCATGCGGCTCCTGTAACACACCACCTACAGCAATTAGCTCAGTTAAGACTCAAGGTAAGGCCACAGCTGAGTGGATGTGGTCAGAGAGGTACGCAGTGTTATGCCCTGAGGAGAGCGAGTCTGGCAGGAACTGAGCTGGAGAAGCGTAGTCCTTGGGTGGTTTGGACTCCCTGGTTGACATATAATGCACTATTTAGCTCGTGAGTAATTCCGTACATGCCCATGTTTGCAGCCTCGGCTTTGTGAGAGACAAAAATAGTTGTGTACGAATGAATGGATGCTCAGTGCTACAGTTCCACTGCTGTACAGTTCCTTCTGCCATCCGGACTGTACCCTTAGCCAGGCTCTGTACGGCACTAAAACAAGTTTCAACAATAGCATAACCCTTTATAGGATTATTTTTAGTATATATATACTTCCTAATATCGCTGTTATGCTTTTTCTTTTTTGATATGAAAAAGGCATGTTTACATTTCTTTGTCAGTCCACTGACATCTGCTGTCTTCTGACTGGAAAAAAACAAACACCTGATCAGTGATGTAATGTTTTTATTTGCATTTACAGTATTTGTTCAGCAAATTCATTTCCAGCATAAATTTTATCCACCTCCAGCAAGCATACAAATGTTTTGTGAAGTCTGATATTCAATTTGATATTTGCCATTTAATTTAATCTTTTTATTCAGTATGCCAAAATATGCATAAGAATATTTTGATTAAATCCTAGGTATAGATGTGAAGCATTGAAAACTACTGAAGTGCTAATTGCAGCTCCTTGTGGAGAGTTCTCTGCCTGCTAAACGTGAATGAGTGAGTGAGTTATAAGCCGGGTCCATGGGGGAATATATAGTGTAATAATAATAATAATAATAATAATAATAATAATAGGCATAATAATAAAGATAATTGACCATCATAACCTGGTGGTGGCAACAGTAGCATAATTAGAATGCATACAAAACAAACTTTTTATGAACTCCAAACAACCATTGAAGCATTGTTCTAGGCATGGTTCTATATACAACCAGTACCTCTGCTAAAGTTGAACACAAATTCTGTCTGTTCTAATGAGTGTCAAGTTGGTCTCAGCCCAGCAGTAAAGTGATACCTCAGGAGGGTCATGGTGGTCATTGAACACTGAGGCCTGCTCAGGCCCTTAGGGTGCATTTTGAGGTCCTGCTTTGTTAAAAGCTTTCTTACAACCATCTTTACTGTGCAGATTATAGATAGTATGTTTTTTTCATATCTCTCAGCTGCCTGATATATTGTTATGAATATTTACAGGTAGAGAATGAAAAATAAAACAGACAGAGTTAAAAAACTAATAGCTCTGTTGTCAACGACAGTGTCACAGTAGACCAGTAAAGTACATGCATGCTCTGGTATTTATTTACAGGTCGGTTTTATTGTATAGCACTTCCATAAACCACTTAGCCTTTTATGATGTACACAATTGCTTATATTCTTTGGGCTATTTAGTTTTAATTATGTTATTACAAATGAGACTTGTGCTACAACTTGTAAAGAAAATACAGCTTTGCATTATGGATTGACATTTTAACCATTATTCTGATATCTGTATTTTTATAGGGCAGTGCCTTAGCTGCATAATTAAGTGGTAAAGATGTAAAAAAAAAAAAAGTCATTCAGAGTGGTTTGATGTGAAGTTCATACGTTTCTCTAGAATGGAGGAGTCAGAATTATTCACAGCAGAGGTGAAGAGTTTAATGGCTCAAAAGATACCTCACAGAAAATGATTACATGAAACAATTATGAATATGTTTCTTGATGTCTGGAACATTGTTTTATGATAATTTTGAGATTGAGGTTTTGGTCTAAACCAAATATTTTCTTAAATAATTTTATGATGGAAAGGTACATGCCAAATAGTACCCAAAGAAAACGTATTTTCTTCAGATTTGTCACTCTTTTACCATTATCGACATTACAAAGCTCAGAAGACACATGTAAGTTCACTCCCAAGTGCTTTACACAATGATTGCTCTCACAACATTGCAACACTGCTTAGCATGAGACACTGTATCAGCTACATGTATCCTGACATGGTGGTTCTGGTGGTTCTATGCCACATGCACAATCAAAAACCTATTTTTTTATTCCAGATTTTACATACTGTATTCAAATACCGGTTTAATGTATTTGAATACTAATGATATCAATATGTTTAAATTACTACGGCAATTCTTTTAATTTTGCATATCTTTTGAACTAATTTCTCTGTTTTCGTTCGTCAGTGGGAAGAGATTGGAGAAGTGGACGAAAACTACGCCCCCATTCACACCTATCAGGTGTGCAAGGTGATGGAGCACAACCAGAACAACTGGCTACAGACAAACTGGATTCTAAATGAAGGTGCCCAGAGAGTATTTGTGGAGCTCAAATTCACTCTGAGGGACTGTAACAGCCTGCCTGGTGGTCTGGGCACCTGCAAAGAGACTTTTAACGTCTACTACTATGAGTCAAACGACGAGGACGGCAGGAACGTACATGAGAGCCAGTACACCAAAATTGACACCATAGCGGCCGACGAGAGCTTTACAGAGCTGGACCTGGGGGACAGGGTGATGAAGCTGAACACTGAAGTAAGGGATGTGGGGCCTCTCACTAAGAAAGGCTTCTACTTGGCCTTCCAAGACCTGGGCGCCTGCATTGCCCTCGTGTCCGTTCGTGTCTTCTACAAAAAGTGTCCCTTCGTGGTGAGGAACCTGGCGCTCTTCCCGGATACTATAACTGGGTCGGATTCCTCGCAGCTCCTGGAGGTGTCGGGGACCTGTGTCAACAATTCGGTGGCTGAGGAGCCTCCCAGAATGCATTGCAGTGCAGAGGGGGAATGGCTGGTGCCCATCGGGAGGTGCATGTGCCAGGCAGGCCATGAGGAAGTTAATGGCTCCTGTCAAGGTTGGTGAACATCTTCATTATTATGCAAATGCAGGCACTGGCAAACGGGGGCCGTGTGTTTGACACGTCTCCTTGAACCGAGCCTATGAAAGTCATGGACACTGATGAGTATGTGAGCCCTTTTGCGTTGGCCTGGGAGTGTGGTGACATTAAACCAACATTCAGAGAAAGATACTGGCTTAGTCTTAACCTTGTGTTAAGCAATTTACATAGATTATTAAAACCAAAATATTTATATAGGTCATCAGAAAAGGCTAAACAGAGCCAAAAACTGGAACAGGGTATGATAAAAAACAAAAAAAACAATGTTTTAACAGAATGTGATAAAAAAAATGAATAGTTTTCATAGAACATGAGATTAGAAACAAAACATTTTTGTTTTGTGAGCAGAATGCTGTTTTTCCTGTTTTACTATTCTGCACCCATCTCTCCAGTTGATAACAAAAAAATAATTTTTGAGAGGGATAATTTAATAATTTAGATAGTGGTTTGATGTGAAATGGTGCATTGTAGAGAACCTTGCTGCTTCTGATTCCTTTACAGTGGTAGTAATAGGATCCAGGAGTAGCGATGTCTGCACAAATATAGCCATTTACTTACTATTCAAAATAACCAGTGAAACTGCTTGTGTCCTCGGAGTTTTTATATGTTATGATAAATAATAATAATAAAATGGTAGCAAACTGGAAAAATGCTCTCTTAGGGTCTCTTTTGCCGTAGAACATCCTACGTGCACGTCTTTGCTGTGAGTTTTAAAAATTAGGCCAAACTTTTGTCTGGAAATTATCCTAAAAACAATATTTCAGGCATAACCATTTTTTGTAACAACTTATGTGAGGAAGCTTTTAGAGGTGGTAGCTTCAGACATCTGGTTCCTATTACCACCGCTGTGTACAATTCTAATTCTAACTCTGAAAGTTCTTCTAATATAGCACATCTGCATACGTAAAGGGATAGTAAAATAACAAAACCCCCAAATCAGCCACTGTTGCATTCATTCAACTTTACATAAAAACTGTATTACATGAAATATTTATATCAAAGTTTAAGGTCAACAGAATAAAAACATTATTAATGGGTTAACCATATTTTAATAAAGATTTGACCATAAAAAGTGAAGGCGATCTTGTTCCTATTTTGATGAGAACATTTTTGTTTTTGTTTGTTATTTCTAGTCCCTGTGAATATTGCAAGCTTTCAAGTACAAATTAGAAACTCTGCATGGGTCAGTGGTTTGGAGGCAGTGCTGATGGTGTTGGGGGTGATGAGACGGCTATCTAACAGCTGGCGGAGGGCGTGATGACTCCTGTGATGAATCATCGACTCTGGACAGCACAATAGACCAGACCTCACCATAGCCTACTTTGTTTTATCCTGCACTCAGAATTGTGGTGAACAAAAGACATCACCAGTGTTTGTAGTTTTAGCTATAAGGTGACTCCAAATGTTTATCCAGTAGGGATGTAAACGTCTTGAAGGAAACATTTTCCAAGTTCGATGGGAAAGTTTTGACTTGGTTTGAGTCATTATTTTTAGAAAAGCTTGCTGTGTTCCTGGCTCGCCCCTAGACAATTGAGCAAAGATGTCTGCATCAGTCTGTTTTGAAAACATCATCACCGACTTTTGGAGTTTTGCCATTCTATTTTCAGAAGCAGCTGCAATATGCAAAAGATGATGCTTGGTAGCTCACAGTTCTACTGCAACATATGCAAACATCCTCGTTGACCTCTCTGTTGACAGAACAAGCTGAGCGCTACCTTTCCTGTACCGGGGACTTGTCATCGTTGATTGAGACGTCGTCCCTCTGATGTTTGCATCAACCCTTCGTAAACTCTTTTAACCGCCGCGTTCTTTATTTGTGGAGTTATTCCCTTGCGAGTTGCCGTCACTCCTTGTGTTTTTTACAGACGCTTCACACGACGGAAACTTAACTTTGTTTTCCCATGTTTGTGTCTGGTGCGGGTAAATACAGTACATCCTCATTTTGGTTTCTATGGCAACCGGGAGACTTCTCCTCCTCAGTCTTTGACGTTCAGAGATAAAAAAATTTTTTACATTTTCCCCCCTATGCGAGCTAGTCACAGTGCAGGAGGATGAAAGCAGGGTTTAGAGGTTTTTTTTTTTCAGTTTTTCACAGACGATGAGCGCACTCCTTCTCTTCTCATCTTCCCTTAGATGTGAATGAGACTGCGGAACGTTTTCTTTTCTCAGGTCAGGAACCGAGGCGTCAAAGGGGATAGTCATTTGAGGAGCAAATCCAGTAGGAGCAGCCAAAAATCTAGTAGTTCACACTGCGGGATTCTGTCATTCCCCCTCTCTCTTTCTCTTCCGCCTGCGGTTCTATTGGCCGCAGTAATCCAGCAGTGCCCTTAATTCAGGCTTTTCTTTGAGCCACTCATAGATTATCAGAGCAGTGGCTGCTCACTGCACCATAAGATGACGAAACCAAAGCAATTGACTTCAGTCTGTTACACACATCCATTCAGCTATTTCTCTCTCTCTCTTTCTTTCTCTCTCATTCTGTGTCTGTCTCATTCAGTAAGTCTGTCTCCCTCTCTCTCTCTCTCTCTCTCTCTCTCTCTCTTTTTTCTCTCAATCTGTCTCTCTCATTCTGTCAGTCCCTCACTCTCTCTCATTCTGTAAGTCTATCTGTCTCTCTCTCTTTTTCTCTCTCGCTCTCAGTCCTATTCTGCCAGCACTTAATCATTTATCCTCCAGTGCTAGATCAGGTATGTCTCTTTTTCCTGCGAGCCATGCTAGTGATCAGGCACTCCCCCACTGGAAGCTTTAGGCTATAATGATGGCTGGGACTGAGGGATAGAATGGATGACAGAGCAGAAGAGAGGAGAGAGGGATGCATGCTCCAGCGGTGGAGGAGGGCAGCGTGTCCCATGAACATTACGGGCCTTTCCTTTCCTCCTCCTTTTCCTCCTCTTCTCCTTTCCGCAGATTGCTCCTTTTGTCTGGCTGAGTCGGCGCTTTGCGATAAGACTTTTTTTTTTTTAACTTGAGCACAGTGTGATATTTCTGTGTGAATTAATTTCCATTGAGCTGTCCTAGGGGAACGCACTGTTGGCCCTGCACTGGAAGCCTGTGCGGTTGCCCAGGTCGCCCGCAGACAAGGCAGCAATGCGTTGAGAATGCATTTAGTGCTATTGTCTGGGGGACAGGGCCTCCATTCAGCAGGAGAACGCTACAATCCTGAACTTAATGAGACAAACAAGCAGAAGGTGTATGCATGCTGCCACTCCTTATTCAGGACGATTGTTGCACGCAATTATAAAATGACTGTAAACATGACGGCAGAATTCACCTGAGATGTTGGGTGAGGAAGCCACAAGCTCTTCTGGGAGATATCCTGAATATATCCTGGCCTGTCACTTGAACAAGGACAATTTAATTAAATGAGGAGAGGAAATCACAATGATGGGGGTGATGATGACGAAGGTGACAGTTTAAATTGTGTAGATTCACAGAGGAAAATGATGACAGTTCTGGGGTGAAGTAAAAGGTGTAAATTCTAAATTCTGCTCCTCCTCTGTCTTGTCTGATTAATAAAACCTGTGTTGTGTTCATGTACGCTAAATCAGTGTCTGACAACTATGATAGAATGCTTTCTGCCTGAAAAAGCATGCACGCTATGTACGAAAGTGCCATACGAGCCAGGCATGCAGTTTATGCAGCACATACATGGAGAAATGCAAATTGCCTTTCTCTACCTTATATGTTTACATGCATTTGAGGGTGGAATTTACAAAACATAGAGAGGAAGAGTGCCAGTGTTAGAAAGGTGACTGATTACATATAGACCTCTGAAGTGGCATGCTCACATAAGGAAAATCGGGTCTTAGCGTTTTTTCTCTCTGGGGAAAATCAATAGCATTTTCAAAGATCACAGCTATTTGCGCTCTTTGGTAAACAAAAATGTTCCAAAGCCAATATTTTTTGTCCTGTGTACACTTTTCATATAAAAAAGTCAGTGAAGTCTCAGAATTATGAGGTTGTTAAGTAGGTGAAATACAACTGCTGCTCATGCTACAAGCAAGCTGACACTCCTGTGCTTTAAACTGACATTGCATGAAAGTAAATCTACTATTAAACTTCAACACTTTGAAGTTATAAATTATATAAGAAATTATAGAACAGCACCAGCACTACTGCCGAAACAACTACCACATTTGGCAAAGCTTGATGGCCTGCACAGGGCATTTTAGTGAGGTTGCTAGTCCTATAATTTTAATTCTGTACTCAGTAGTAATAGCTTGCATATAGAAATATTCATATTTTGAATCTTTAATGACCTCAGAATTCAGAGAATCCGTGACATTTCAAGGGAAAAACGTACATACACTCTTAAAAAAGATGGTTCTTCAAGAGTTCTTTAGTAAAAAAAAATGGCTCTATGTAGAACCATGAACACCAAAAAGGCTTCTTCTGTTGTTACAAGCTTGACATCATAACAATAGAAGAACCCTTTTTGGTGCCATATAGAACCCTTTTCAAAAAGATTGTATCCATCTACAACACATTCTTCAATCTAAAGAAAACTTTCACAATGCAAAGAACTATTTCATCATTTAAAGGGTTCTTTGAGTGTTCACGGTTCTGTACAGAACCAGAGCTTGTTGACAGCTCCCCTATTTCACTCCCCTTTTTAACCCCTGCGCCTAATAGGCGGCCTTATGCTCAGTTTGGGTGGTTAGCTACAGTGAATGTCAGTTTAAGATGTGTTGCGAGAGAACAATACGGCTGCATTAAGGAATGCTTTACGTTGCACCTTCTCCCGTACATCTGTCCCTCAGTGTACAGTAGTATTATGCACAGAAAATTAACCTTGTTTGCATGGATAGTTGCTATGCTTCTTCTTCTATGTGCCTGCCTGATGTGGATGATGTTGTTGCTAGTGTTTGTTGATGAGGATGTGAATTGGCTCTGGCCGAGCGTACTTTCAACTGGCCTTTCAGGAATATAGGTCACATCTCTTCTGAGTGGCCGACTCT